GGTTAAATTGTCCATGTTTTGATTTTGGATTGTTAATATTGAATTTTCTTTTTCTGACCAGAACTATAAGATGATGATTTATACCTGTAAAAGTGATTTATTTGGTTTAGCTTAAAACACATACATGATTATTATTGGTCTTTTGTATGCTTAAAAGGAGAGATCTTTTAGGTTTCACTTCTCAGAAAAAACATAGAAGCTAAAATGCAAAATTGACCTATTTGTTTAAGCTTAAAATGTATAGTTTATTATTACTGGCACTCTTAATCATTTTGCTGATTATATTGATTGTTGAATGCTTTTTACAATTCTCTTATTATTTAGGGATGAAAAAGGGGATAAGGAGGGGTTTTTTTAGTAGTAATAGAGAAGGTGTTAAGTTACTGTTAATACATATACTTGTTTGGAGGGAGGGGGAAGTCATCTTTTACATTTCTTTCTCTTTTTTCTTTTTTTCTTTTTCTCTTTTTCTTTTTGTTTGTAGGTTTTTTAGTTTTGTCTTATTATTTAGGGATGAAAAAGGGGATAAGGAGGGGTTTTTTTAGTAGTAATAGAGAAGGTGTTAAGTTACTGTTAATACATATACTTGTTTGGAGGGAGGGGGAAGTCATCTTTTACATTTCTTTCTCTTTTTTCTTTTTTTCTTTTTCTCTTTTTCTTTTTGTTTGTAGGTTTTTTAGTTTTGTATTAGTTTTTATATATATAAATGTTAATAAAAATATTTTTTAAAATGTTCTAAAGCTGAGAAATGTTGATGACGGGGGAGAATTCCCTCCCAATCCTGAATAACCACTGTAGAAGAGATGTATACCTACAGTAGAGAGGGAAGGTGGGCTACCATTTGCAGATAACCAGTCTGTCCTCTTTTGTAATCTCTGCATCATATATATGAGTTAAAATATTATGAGTTATCATAATTATTGCAGTTGTAGAACTGCATGTCCTAAAGTGACATCCAACCTAACTCTTTTATCTAGTTGGTGAAGATGAGGTAATTGTTTCAGGCCCAATCAAAGTTCGGATAGATCTACCCCTAAACAGCCATGGACAAGCAGTTCTGGTAGAATATGAAGATGAAGGGGCCAATTTGGCTTACTGGTAATAACATAATATGGAAGAACTTACTTAAGAAGTTTGAAAGAACTGAGAATGCTTCTCTTAGGCCATAACAACAAAGACAAATCCTAAGAATGTCAAAAGGAAGCAATTTTCTTGATGTAATAGGCAATACTTCTGCAGATATTTATATCCCACAACTATAGAGAACTCTATGATCTGAAATATTAAAGAGGAAAGAAATAATGGTCAATGTATGATAAGTTGAGCAAACAATAACTGGCTGATACATGGAAATATAGCTACCTTATTAAGATCCATAAATTTTGTGAACAACTTTGTTGAATGAAAATCTAAAAGAAAGCATTCAAAACTGAAAAGGATGCAAAGTAAATCCAGGATTCAAACCTCATCTGAGATCAATATACCAAAATGCATATCTGTCCAACATCAAAGACATTTGGCAGTGTGACCATGCAAGACGTTCATGATGAGATGACATTGTGGAGAGCAAAAAGAGGTTGAGTTAAAATCAGGAATTCTTTCTCAGTTAAATGTTCTATTTCACTACATAGAACAGGGATTACTGCCAGCTTTTTTGCAACAACTACTACAGAAGTCTGAAACAATCCATCTTTGTGGTAATAATGAGAATTGAATAGTCTGAATTGGTATATTCTGAGTTGTTAACAAGGATGGGTATCTCTTTAGATTAAGACCCACAGATTCATACAACCATATCTCCCCCTGTCCCCCTCCCCAAAAAAACCCTCAGCGTAGATTTGGATTGCAATCAACCTTATAATTAAAGATACATTTATTTTGCAAAGCAGCAAACCATCATGTAGAAAATGCAGGTAAGCTCTTTCATAACTTTCAGAAGTTACTAACGAACTATCAATTTTTTCCCATCAAAAGATTTAATACCAGGCTATCCATATTGATGGAATTTGGGATTGGTCAGGAAAAAAAATCCAGTTAGTAAATCATATAGCAACTTGGAGCAATGCAAGTAACCTTAGGTTTCCTACAAATGTATAAAAATATGCAAAACCACGTAAAGCTCAGGCTAAGATTTGAAGTGAGGACAGTGTGCTGGTTTTCTTCTCTTTATGTACTAGAAAATTGAAAAGTGTAGCAGCTGAGGTCAGTTTGCAAGTGAGTGTTAGGCCACAAAGAATTATTTACTACATGGCCATAGTGTTCTCATAGGAGCAGAAATTTGGTGAAGACGCTCCGTCTGGACTTGATTCTAAATTTATTTTAAACTGACAGTCATTGAAATGTGAGATACTTTCATATCTTTACTCCCCTAATGAATAGTTTGTTGATATACATGAATACATTTTGATAGCTGCAATACATTATGGCAAGTTGGTTGGTTTGTTCTGGAGGGACTGAAATGTCATTTTGTTACTAGCAACCACTGTCATGATTAAATTCTAAGAGCTTTATATGAATTATATAGGTCTACTTCTGTAGTTACTACTTCAATGCATAGATTTAAACCAAAATAATAATTGTATTATTGGCTTGTTAGGTTCAGTTTCTGTCCAAGTTGTCCTGTTTGTTTGGTTCTTTGCTGGCTAACAATGGCTGGCTAATACAACAGCATGCCATGGAGTCATTCACTCAATTTGCAGAGGTAAGAAGTCCAATTGTGCTTTTCGTGTTTTAGATAGTCTAAATTAAGTTATTTCAGATTCCTATACCACTTGTGAAGCAGAACCTGTCCTTTAGAGGACCGATCTGTAATGTAATTTGGAGAAATTAGAAGCAGCAGAAACACTTATCTTGCCCAAAGTGTAAGTCCAAAATCTCTGCATTTACCATAGTTTTGAGAAAAGGCAGAATTATCTTTCATAACCTGAAGTTTGGAGAAAGTGAGGAAACCATAGAGGAAGGGTGAGTTTTCTCATTTGCCTTGGGATTTGCAGATTTTATTTAAAAAACAACAGGAAGTATTCTTCCTTCTTCTGAGAGCCTTTTTTGCATGACAGAATTTAAGGATGGGAACAGTAGTCTGATCACTAGCAATATAATTGTTAGGAAGATTTAATTTTAGCTAGATCAGCATTCTTCAGTTGCTTATCATGCTCACAACTGTGTTTCATCATAACAAACCATATTTGCTCAGTACCAAGTCATGTTTCTGGAGAAGTATTTGAAATATTAAAATATGAGCTGTTGAGGACAGGAAAAAATGTATGGAGAAGTGTATACCATTTCTCTTTCTTCTGAAGTGTATTTTGGTTGAAATGTTTGTTGTTTACATAAGATAATTAGGTACACTGTGAAGAAAATTTTAAAATTGTTACATTAAAATAAATGGATAGGCAGAAAATAAAGGGAATATGAGCAGAGCAGAATCTGAAGTACCTGACTTTGTTATTAAACTTACTGCAACAAATACTTAATATATTCAGTTCTTAGTAGATATTCCTTGATCCTGCTTGATTGTTGCACCTAATAGCCATTGGTATAAACTGTTCCTTACTTTCCTGTTTTGTCTTTGTATCAAGGGAACAAGCCATGAAGAAATACTTCAGAAATGTCTGAACTCTACTGAAATCAAAAGCAAAGTTGTTGGCTTTCTCTCCAAGGTATTTAAGAAAACATAAAAGTGACAATGCAATGCTGGTGTCAAATCTACTTTTAAATTAATGTTTCATAAATAAGCATGCATGCTGCCTTTATTATTCTAGAACACATGGAGCCTGCAGAACAGATAGAGCCTTTATGAATCTTGGAACATAATCTAGAACTTTGGCGAGACAAGTCACAAAGCCCTGTGCATTACAGAATTCTGCTGAGTTAGATGACAAGATTTCTGTCTTGCTTTCCTGTACACTACACATTTGAGTACCCAAAGCAAGGTTTCTTCTTTATAGCCTGCATGTAGCTATACACATTTATTTTAAATATTTATATTGTACAGGTAATCCTCGTTTAGCAACCACAATTGGGACCAGCAACTCAGTCGCTACGTGATGTGGTTACTAAGTGGAAAAATCACATGAACTCTGCTCACGATTTTACTTCAGCTTTCCTTTTTCCCCACTCCCCTGCCCTTTGGAATGCTCACCCCCGCACTGGGATAATTAGCAAGAAGAGAATTAATGTTTGAATTTACATTCATTGGAGAGGAAGGGTTTACAAGAAAGTAGGCAGGCACAGAGTAAGGAATACACATTGAAAGCAATATGCTGGGACTGGCTGTTTGCCTAGTGTGCTCACAGCCTGGAGCCGCTTAGGAGGCAAACAAAAGCTGAAAGTGTGAAAGTGATTAAAGTCCTGTCAGTTACAGGCAGAAGCTGTCAGCCAGCTAATTAAAGTCATAGAGCTGAAGTTGTTAACTTGCCATTAGCACCTTTTGGGGAAGCACTGGGCTGCAGAGAAAAGCAGCTCAGGAAGAGATCACTTGTTTAAGCAATCCCTCCACTCTGAGAAGGAGGGGAGAGAAAAAGAAAAGGGTCATGCATAGGACATTGCATACTGACTGACTGTAATGGCGAACATGTGACTGAGAGATGCTGCAAAGGTCATAAATGCAGGCATTGGTCACAGAGTTACTTTTTCATCACTGTTGTAACTTTGAATGGTCACTCCCTGAGGCAGTTGCTAACCGAGGTCTACCTGTACTTTTCTGACTGAAGACAACTTGGAAAAAAAAAATGAACATTAGAGTTTTAAGTTGGATCTTTATTCCTCCCCATCCTGAGTGTCCACATGATTTTACTCCTCCTCATCCCACTAGAAGGAGTAAACTAAGGTAACTCCTATGATAGTAGGAACTATGAACAGCCATTAATTGTTAATACTGGGTTATTTTTCTTTGTTATTCTCACACAGACCAATCACATGGAGGAGACACCAAAAGCAAAAGTGGATCGAATGAAAGAAGAAAATGCTCTTTTTATGCACTTCTTCCAGGAGGCCAGAGTAGATGGGCAAAGAGCTCTTATTGGAGAGGTATATTGTCTTTTCAGTGAGAATGTCTAACTTCAGAATGACAAGGGTTATCACAGTGTTATTTTTATGTTGGAAAATTTAGAGTTAATTTAGGGTTCTCACAGATACTGTGATATTAATAACCATTTACATGATCTTAGTTTTTTTCATTCATGGGAATTAACTCCAATTAAAGCTTATATATCTAAGATGTATATACAGGAGTCACATTTACTAAAGTGGTTGCTAGCATGATGAAATCTATCTTACAAGCAGCCAGAAAATGCACCTGCCAGCTATTCATTTAACGTTGTTCTAATTCACAAGGTGGTTCCTAATCTTATAGTAGGCTACCTTGAAATTTATTCTTACATTCCAGCAGATCTTTCTAAACTGCAAGTTACTTTAGATAATTCTTAGAGGAGAAAGTCTGTTCAACTCCTCCTAATCTTCTCTGTGTAATGGAAGGGACTACAGAATTTTCATACTACCGCCTTAGGGTTTGTATTTAGAGGAGTCATTTCAAGTAGGGAAGGTCAGTTTTAAGATTCTGTTGAAGCTTGTTATATTTATACAGTAACTGGACTACAGCTGCTTCTGTAGACCTACTGATATATGGTTCACACTGGCCTTTGTTTCCAAACTGCCATCTTTACTAAGCAACCACACAGATAGCCAGTAGTATCAGAGCAACTTTACAAGAATGTAACTGAAGAGATGCTACGTATCTGCATGGGAAGAAGCTTCCCTCAGCATTACAGTCTATTCTTTTTGGTTGCCAAGGAGGACTAATTTCAGGCAGTCTACCCATACAGTTAAAACAGAACCACTTTGACCCTTTCTATAAGAAACCTTACATGAGAAATGTAGGGCTTGAAAATCACAGAGCATCATGGAAAGTTGTTGGGTTTTGTGTACTGATTGGGTTGATTTTACATTCCCCTGCTTAAAATGCTTATGTTACAGAACTACTCTTCTGTTTCTTAATTGTAGCCCTCCCCGAAGAGAACTTGCTATTCACCCAGTGAGATGCAATACAAGTCAGCAATTGACACTGCTGAGAGGACGCTAGACACCATGAAGCAGTTGTTACAGAAAGGTCCACCCCCCACTTGGCTTGCAAAAAAATTGGAAGCATTGCAGACAACACTGAACAGCTTAAAGAACAGTATATGTTGGTCTGACCAAAGTGTCCTTTCTGGGTGATTTTAGTACTGTACTGTACTGTAAATGGAAGCCCCATACTTATGGCTTGAACTCACCCAGGCAGAACTAGTAGTAATTCTGGATCTAGAAAGTTGTATGTTAACTTTATGTTTATAATTTGTAGTGGCTTTCTAGCTGAAAAATATTGCAACTGAGCAAAAATAATGATTAAAAATGGCATGTATGCTAATTCATGCCATTTCTTTAGTTTGTTTTTGTTGTCTTTACTACCAAAATATAAGAATTACAAACATATTCAACAGTCCCCTTCAGGACATTTTATCTAGGAAATAAACTGTCCAAAGAAGAACCAAGATTTGCTGCTATCCTGTGGTGTTTCTCTCCTGTCCTAATTTAATCTCAGAGTTACTCTACAATTAGCCTTGTAAAAACAGTTGTCATAGGATTCTCTTGTATGCCAATCTGTAGAATCAACAAACATTTTGAAGCCTAATTTTCTCATAAAAATAAGTTGCACAAAAAGCTAGTGATTTATCCATTTATTTTTCCTAGAATTTTCCACAAACAAAACAATTGTGGAAATATAAAGCCACATGTCTGCAACATCCCCCTTTGTCCAGTAATTCCTTGTTAGCAACCAGGGCAGGGCAGGAAACTCCCTGCTGTAGTTTTGGCCTAAAAGTTTTAACTCAGAAAGGCGAGCACTTGCACTGGTATGCAAATACTGAGTTCTCACTGTCTGTGAAAGCTGGGGTGGAGGGGCAAATAAAAATGTCCAGGATACTGTGAAAGAAGCTACTGAATTGTAACCAGCAGAAGATGTTTATCATCACCAGTTAGTATCTTCTTCCCAGTTCAGGTCTTCTTCTTCCCAGCCAATACCATCCACCTGAAATGATCAAATCATGATTAGCAAATCACATCACATCATATCAGCAGAAACATTATTGAGCTGTTTGCACCACTGCTATTTAATGGCAGTTAGCGAGAATGCATTTTTTTGCAGGGTGTCCACTTTTCCTTCCCAAGAATAGCTAGAGGAATATCAGGCACAACTATCTTGGGGGTCCTGATTATCCTGAATCTAACACAATTAAACTCATACCAATCAAAACAATCTCTTACACACCTACCAAGAACCTGTGTGGCCTTCCTATATTACTAAGTGAAACAGGGATGCTATAGCAACTCAGACACAGACTCCTTTCTGTTGAAGCTAGTCAGTTCACATAATCACTACTGTTGTTTACCAACAATATCATGCCTTTTCTCTAACCCTATTACAAGAAATATTTGAGGTTTGTATCTTTTCTCTACTATGAAACTGGTGCTAATAGGTGTTTACTTTAAGCAGTCACCTGCTCAAGAAAAGTCATGTGATACTCTCTCTACCAGTGCAATTACTGAAAAACAAAACCCAAGGATTAGGGTTGTACAAAACAGCCAAGTTCTGGTGACGTGTGTCCTGTCCATGTACAGATGTGGAACACAAGTGTTAGGGTAAGGGGGTAGCAAAGAAAAGGGAAAGTGTTGGCAGCAGCAGCTAAAGGAATGTAAGGAGAAAGGGGGTACTGGGAAGTTTGGAGCCACTAGATATGCTGCATTTGAATTAAAATATGGTGGCCAAGGCAAGGAAAGTGCCTGGGAGATTAGTGGATGGGTGGTCTTGGACAAAGGCCACACAGGAGAAGATGAAAGAGGGGGAAAAGCACACCAATCTTTCCCTATTCATCTGCCAAACCCCCTCAGAAATATGTCTCATCTGAAAATGAAATCAAGTTGTTCCAAGTTTCAATTCATTCAGATTGTGATCTGTCCTAAACATTTTAGCTGAATCTGTGTTGTGTGAATACCTCTACTAAGAATATAGCTGACAGAATGTCATGCCACATCTCTCATTGTAATCAACCTGATAACCTTAGTAGCCAACTGATGCATAGCATGAGTTTTATAGAGTACTGTACTAGAATTTCATGCCCCAGCAGCATTCTGTTCCCCAAATCCTTACCTCCGTAATATCTGTGGCCGCAAATTTAGAAGAAAACTGCACTTCTTGTGCATCACTCATAGAACTCGAAACTGTATCTGAGTTACTCTGAATGGTAGAATGGGTCTCTAGTTCTGGTAGAACTAAGAGAGATGATGAAGATTTGATATCTGGGACCATGTCTGCAAACCAGTCCAGCTCTGTGTCATGCAATTCTTTCCTCTTCACCTGGATCACAAACTCTTCTCCTAAACCACTTTCCAACTTGGGAGACTTCTCTAGAAATGATGTTTTGTTCAAATAAGACATTTGACTCTTGTCTCTGGGGTCACACCCATCACTGTTGCTGATGGACTCTGGCGAAGGATTATTTCTGAGAGTTCTGAGTTCTTTTTTGAGCTCAAACATATTTGGAGGCAGCTGCAACTCTGTGATGTCATTTATCCCTCTAGCATAGGGACTGTTTCCTGAGGAGAGCTTAAAGTCAGGGCTAGGAGGCTCCTTTGTCCACAATTTCTCTTCTCCATCATGACTGGCAAGACATGGATGGCTGTTAACACAAAAGTCTTTGAGTTTGGTATCAGCAATTCTACTTATTTCTGGCTTCAGCTCTTCACACTCATTCCAGTCTGGCCATTCCTCTGTCTTCTTCTCAGTTATATGGTGGCAGTTTTTGCCGTTACTCATTGTATTTACTCCACTAGAAATATTATATAAGTGCAAAGCGTCTTGCTCCCCTAGAGAAGACAGAGAACATACACAAGCTTTGATTAGTGATTTATTTTCCTGGGAATGAGAAGGAATATGAACACACACGCACATACACACACATACACGTATTTATACACACAGGTATATTACTTCCACTCAGAAACCTAACTATAATACAAAGTAAGAAAATGTTCTCTAAAGCTGAATAACAGTTGCCTTGCCTGGAATTCTCCCTATTGCTATGAAACTTCATTTTTTTCAGTTCAAAAGAAACAGAGTATGATTCATAGAGTTCCCAATCTATTAGGCAAAAAGTACAGATCTGGATTTTGGTTTAGACTGGCAGATGTAATAGTTTTTAGCAGGAAAGGGGAAAATAAGCAGGACCAAGATTACCTTTTCTTAAGGCAATGTGAGGACTTTCCCGTGGTACATTTTTGTTGTTGCTGAAGGACAAATTTCCAGAACTGGGGCACTTGAGGAACATACTTGAATTATGCTGTAGTGGCAGATAGATTAGCTTACCCTCACAGCTCATTACATCATCAGGAGAGTCTGTAAGGATATAAAAGACATCTCTGTAAGTCTACTCTGTAAGTCTACTCTGTAAGTAGTATCAAAATATTTAAAACATATTTAGTATTTTTCAGAATACTGTTTCATTTATTTTCATTAATAAAACATATGAATTATACGGTCTTATCATAAGATAGGTAAAGAGTTATAAACACTGCAAGCAAAACAATAAACTAGAGATGGATAGTCTCTGATCTGCATGCACAATTTGGCCTTCCAATACAACCCATCTGAACAAGAATCCTCACCCCCAGCAGCACGAGTTACCCTATGCTTTCCCCACATCACCCTACACAGATAAACTGATAACAGAAATAAAGCCTTTAGCCTTAAGCCCTACTCCTGACATCACTCAGCCTCCAGATTAGATTTAGTTCCTGCAAGTCTGTTGGTAGACAGATTTAAAAGCAAGGATTGTCTCTCCTGCATGAGCTCAACCTGCCTGAACAGATCTAACATTGGTACTGCTGAATGAAATGTGTTGATTTTATGTTTTTTAGAACTTCTGGAATTGATGTGATCTGACACCTTGTTTACTAGATGATGATGAGTCTTATGCTACTTTATATCTTCTGAAATCTCACTGCGAGTGAAACAGGAAAAACAGTAAAGGGCTAAGTAAATTGAGCTGACTAGACAATTCCATCCTAGGAAGTCTTTAATTCGAAAATTATTTTCCCAGTCCAGAAGCTGTTCACCCACATATTTCCCATTAAAATATCAATTCAATGAAACCCAGAAGCATGTCTGAGATCAGAAGATGATCAGTGGTAAAGTCGGTTTCTTTGATGTTTCAGCATGTTCACCAAGCACCCAAAATAAGATAAAACAGAATTGCATCATTATGAAAAAAGACTTGCGATATAGAGTTAATGATTCCTATCTACTTAACTACACAATCATTCCAAGTTACGTAACATAATTAAACTTTACCTTTGTTTAGAACTCGTTATGTAAACAACCTTCCATCTCAAGGAGAAAATTACTGCAATTTAATGGTTCAGTAACTATTCCCATAGGAGTCCTAAGCATGTAACTTTGTCCCTGGTGCTTTCCTTTTTTAAAATATAGCAATAGATTGTGAGTAAGTATGTTGCTCCAATTACAATTACTGTTCCAGCTTCATCGATAGAGCTTGTTTTGTTTGTAGGAGAGCTAAAACTGGCTTTTTTTACCTTCAGAGGAAAGATCCATGATTTTAGTGAAACTTGGTGCTGAACGCTTGAAGATCTTCGTTCTGTCACCCCCCACAACAACATCAGGTCCAAGCAGTGAGACCAGCACTCCTAAGCTTTGCAGTGTCACAGCCACTAGAGAATCACTAGTATCTCGCAGGCCAAGTAAAACCTAGAATAAGGATATGCTGTCAAATGGAGTTTGTTTCCTACCCACATTCAACTTAAAAACTTACTCTTAACTGTACATTAAATAAAATCCCTTTCTTAATAGCTCTAGTACTTGGCGGGGGGGGGGATATTTCCAACAAATTTGGTTTATTGTGAGCACTTATTACCACAACCACATTTCCAACCTCATTTGCTGTAACTCACCCCAGGTTTTATCTGCTTTGTGTAGATTCAGAATTTGAATATTTATACAAAAGATTTTTGAAATAACAAATAATCATTCCCACTCGTGACTGCACAGCACAGATAAGACTGTGTGGGTGTAGCTACTTAAATAGAAAAGGTGAGTAAAAGGGAAAATCAATCTAGATTGAGAAGATGGATAGAACTTCAGAATCATATTCCTGAAGAGAAATGAAAAAGACTGGTGCCAGATAAGGACTACCTTTGTAAATAATCTCACTGCAGAAATCAAGTGCTTCCTTAATAATTGTGTTTCCTAGAAAGGAAATTTCCCCACCCCCACCCCCCATCAGAATTATCTATGCATTGAGGTGGTCATCTTACGTTAGCTAACATAGGTATCCACAGCTAGCCACAGTGACAACACGACAAAACATAAATCATGATATCATGAAGCAAACTCCACCCTTTCATACTAGTATCATATTGTTGCCCGCAAGTACTTCAGGGACAAAGTTTGTGTCATGAGGTTGCAATGCCCATTTTCTCACTTGACCTCCTATGGTCAAAGTGCTGAACTGTCTATTTTACCTAGAACACGGTAATGGAATGAATAGGCAGAGAATGTAAATAATAAAAGCAAGTGGCTGAAATGGAGGGAGAGAAACAGCTGTTTACACTTCAAGGGGTGGTGATAAGAACCCTTGTCTTGTCCTCCTCCATGTGCAA